AACCTAATCCTAAACCTAACCCTAAACGTAACGCTAGCCCTTACCCTAAACCTAATCCTAAACCTAACCCTAAACCTAACCCTTACTTTAACTTACATTGGCTTTCTGTCGCCGCGCTGTTGTCGCTGTGGTGATGACATCGCGGTTTTAGCGACGCGGTTTTGTCAGCACGCTTTTGTCGTGCGTGCTTTTGTTGGGTCTCGGTGGCATGCATGCCATAGGTTTGCCATCACGAAGATAGATCATTCTGATCTTACCAGAAGTTTTCTCATCTCTAAACATTTTGTACATTTCTAGTAAACATTTCAGCAAATGACAAGTGGTATAACTTGTAACGTAACAAGACAGAGCATTCTTGGGTGGTTGAGCATGAAAGCCTACACTTCATTACTATTGGAAGTCCTTGCTCATAGCTGTTGACTGTTGCATTCCCAGTTTTTAAACATCTTTGCATTTTTAAATTACTGTTATTCATGTTTTTGTCATTCATTTTTTCTTCATCTGAGCTATGAAGACAGGAATTGTATGTCAGTCAGAATAAGTTCAAATCAGAATGTCTTATAAGAATTGAAAAATAAACTGACAAACTAACATTGACAACACAGGTTTGTAACTGCTTCTAAAGTTAGAAAAACTGAACGTTTACCTTTCAAGACTTAATCTGAGTGGGTTCCTGGTTTGATTTTAAAAGTCCCTCTTTGAGGGAGATGGGCAGTTTAGAAATGTGAAAAATAAATAAATAATGAAGTTGTACACTTTTGCGACATTGAAATCAGAGTAACTCTTTATTGTGACTACTATTTATTTCAGTCAAAGCCAAGCTTGTCTTCTTTATCTTCCTTCTATGTAATTTTGCATATAAATTACTCTAAATGAGAGAAATCAGTATCTGTATTTTTGTACATAAAATATGTACAGCCATCAGCAATTGTCTGAGTAAGAATTTCAGGGGTGGGGAAAGGAAGTTGATTTGGCTTCCTCTGTCTTTTAATTGCTCTGGTGCATTCTGGAAGCTATGGTTGAACAAATGGATTGCAGTTGAATTGCTGTACCTCTGCTTGAATACTAAGTAACACTGGGTGGTGAGCTTTAAAAGTACTTAGAAATGTAATTGTTTTAACTGGAACGAAGAAATATCATATTTTTGAAGTTTCAATTAAACTCTTGTGCTATAAATTGCACTTTAGGCAGCTAGAAAAAATGTTGATTTCACAAATTTAAGAAGGAGCTCTTAAATACAATCAGACTTCAACCTTGGAGTGTTACATTGAGTTATATTGCATTGTATCCTTTGGCAAAGGCTTCAGTGAACAGAAGCTGTTTGTCTCTGTGTGTGTACATGCACATACATTGTTTCTATTAGTATGAAATCTCACAGTGTTCTAGAGGTTCTCCAGCTCTTTGGAGCAGACTTGAATAGCAGAGGCCTGCAGAGAGAAGAGAGATAACAGAAAATCATTTTCCTCTCCCACTTAAAAATATCTTACATCAAAAAGCCTTATTTGAATAGGAGGATATAGCAAAGCTTTAACATTACAATACATTAAAGGGCCATGTTTGTTATTATTTGAACACTGTTTCATTTGGTCCATTGCAGATGCACAACTAACATCAACACTTACATTCTAGGATGTGTATTTAAACTACAATGGCATTTTCCATGAAACCACTGAATTTCTGCAAACTTGGTAAGTTAAATTTAATTAGAGATAATGTAGGGTGGGGTTTTTTTTGGGCTGCCAGTTCCTTCTTTGTCATGTGTTAACATTGTGGGAGGAAATTTGTCCCGGAAATTGTATGATCACTTCCTTCCATGTGTCTAAAACAAATTGTTTATTCGAAACGTATTATTGATAAATGGTCTTCAAGGTGATACATTGAAACAACAGCAATAGCAGTCCTACCTAATTTGGAGAGTAAACTCATGCACAATTTATTTTTAAGGTTTTTAATTAATTTTGAAAAATAATAATTTGTTGTTCTTTCATTTAGCATTTGTCTTATTTGAACTTCTTTCCTAAAACATGTGTAATATTAGGGTTTTTAAAAAGAAACACATTTTGTATTCAGAATAGAAATATGTGTTATTACTATTTATAATTCTAAGCTGTTCTCTTGAAACTCACATTTGTAATAGTGTCTTCTAATATATAGACTTCTCTCCAAATATAAAATCACCTGGGCAGCAGATTTAATCTACAACACTTAAGGCTGGCCTGGTCACATAAGCACCTCTCCAGAATGCAGATGAGGGAATGTAATGAAGTTTCGTTCGTTTCTCTTGCAAAGAATGAAATGATGTATTTGCCATTATCATTCAACTCCAGCCTATTCTTATGTTGTTGCTGCCTAATATAGATCTCTGTTTTCTTTAGCTGGCCAATTTTTTAGCTTCACATCTTGGATGATGAAGCCGGGAATACATACTTTCAGGATACACTATGTTCTGTATATTAAATATCTAGTGATTGTACAAAAGAGGCTTAAGTGATAATTTTTAATTATTCTATGAAGGCTTGTTTTTCTTTTGCAAAACTTTCCAGTTGAACTAATACATTGTACTAAGCCAGAACCTATGTTTATCATGGTTTATTGAAAAAGCTATGGCTATGTAGCTAGGTTCTAATGCCAAAGCCCCAAAATTAATTGCCCACAAACCACAGTGGCTGGATTCATAGATACTGAAGTAAAACCACTGATGGCTTTTTACAATATGTGTCTTTCTATCCTATAGCTTTTGCATCTTCCCCTCTTTGATCTTAACATCATTCTATTTTTTATCTCTTCCTGTTTGTGGATATTTGGTCAAAAGATAGCTTTTACAAATGAATAATATTACTTTGTAATCCCATAAGTCTTCCAACATAAAAAAATAGTCTACAATTAATTATAAAAAAAGGAAAAGCAAACTTTAGGGGTTTTTTTGTGGTGAGAGAAAGCCAAATGCCTGATTGTTATACAAGTACTCCTCAGCTTACAACCATAATGGAGCCTGCCTATCATGTTCATAAGTCCGGATGGTCATAAAATGGGTTGGCCATGTGTCCAATCCAATTTTAAGATATTTCTGTTGGAGTCATTAAGCAAATCAAAGATTCACCATGACTATTGTTTTGCAAAAAAAAAAAACAAATGCTGGGTTTTGGCAAAACTATCATAAAATGCAGTCATGTGACTCTGGGATGTTGCAGATGGACATAAATGCAGCCCAGATTGGGTGTGTCCAACATTTACTTACCTTACCAGGGGTGTATAACTAAGAATTTCCAATTGTGGTTGTGAGTATTCCCTAGGTAGGTCCATCGTAGCTTTGAACGGTCACTAAGTAAGTCAAAGATTAACTATCAAACAAAAACCAAAAATGTACTCAAGTAGAGTGTGGTCCAGCTTCAGTTAAACATTAGAGAAAAGTTGAAAATTGCATAAATACTATAAAATCTATATACACCACCATACATTTGCCATTGCCCTAAAAATACCACTTACAAGTATAAAATCCTTTACCTATCCTTATTCCACCTGACATTACTAATAAAATATAGCTGGGCAATCCTGTCATCTAATTTTACAGGCTGCCATTCAATGTAACTGACATGGCACCAGTGGCTGCAGGGCTTCTATCAGGTCATAGATCTTCTCAAATGGAGGTTCTTAAATTGTACTCTGAAAATGGATTTTTGTGGAGTGAATATGTTTTAAAGGAAATTAAAATTTCACCATTAAAAAAGTACTTCTATTTATTTTATATCTGCCTTTGGACTTAGTTACATCAGATTTGGCCATTTTAGCATAGATGCGTTTCCATCAACAGAAACAAACCTTACTAACAGTCCAACTGTTTCCAGCATGAAGTGAGCAATATAATATTAATATTTGAAAATATGTTAAGATCATTTTTTAAGAAAGTAATAAATGGCAGTATTGCATTAGAGGAAAGTGGTTATTGTCAGATTGAACAAAGCAGCCTTCTACAAACTGGTATTTATGTTGGTTGAAGTACAAGAAGATTGTTTGTTCAATTAATCAATTTATATGAGTGCCTAACAGAAAAATTATGACACTATGTGGCTAACATCAGGTTAAAAAGAAACAAAAAATAACTTAACTAGACAAACAAAAATGACAATAAAAATATAGTACATTTGAGGCCAGCCACAACCATAATATTAACCATTACAAAATGGTCTCCTCTAATTCCCTGATTCAATGTCTGGGGGAAGAGCCAGGCTTTATAGAAGGCTGTTTGGCTCATGGCTGTCTGAATCTCAGGGGATATGTTGTTCCATAGGACAGGCACTGTAACAGAATGCAAGGTGCCCAAATCCCATGAAATGACATTGTTTCATAGAGGAGACAGGATGAACATGCCCACCCTGTTTGGTCTGCTGAAATAATCAGAGCCAGGTAGTTCAACAAATAACCTTTTTTCCATGAAAGGCTTCATAGATGATAACTTTCACCTTGAATTACACCCAGAAACCTAATTTAGCCGGTGCAACTCATAAAATAATGGTGTTACACGGCTCTCTGTGGTTCAGCTATAATTATTCACATCACTGAATTGTGAACCACTTGAAGTTTCCTAATGGTCTACAAGGGAAACCCTATGTAGAACACCTTGCAATACCACAAACAAGAGGTGATTACAAACAGGGCCTTCCAGTTCAGGAATGGAAACAACCGGCACATAAGATTTGGTCCTCTTGGCCACTGCAGGTACCTGCTATTCAAACAGTTGCTGAGGGTAAAGATACAGATGGTATTCAGCAGGTCTGACCAGTTTTAGTGAACAGGTAGTGGAAATTTTGAATAGTTCGGAGAACTGGTAAATACAACCTCTGACTGACATCTATTCTCTGCCTCCCGAGTCCCAGCTGATCGGGAGGGAATGGGGATTTTGCAGTAACCTTCCTCTGCAATGACCACCAAGCTTGGGTTGAGAGGACAAACAGTAAATGAAACCAAAGGATTTTGAGTACATTTTATCATGGAAAACCTTGGAAAGAAATAGGGATAATACACCTGTAACCATACTTGAAGAAAATTGAATGTCTAAAGCTGCTTATGAATTGTTTTCTGACATGAAGCTACTCAGTAGCAAAATACCCACCCACTCTAGTCTGGAAGAAAGTCATGAATCTCTGATGCTAAATTCTATTTTATATTAACTTTCCAACCATTTACTTATATATGATCAAATGATTGTAGCATTTTTCCTAATATTTGTTTTGTTTAATTTACAGCATACATCAGTGCAATAACTTTGAGTTTTAGCAACTTTCTTGGTAAGTATTTTTCATATACTATAGAGACCTTGCTAGAGATGAGCTCTTATTGATAGCAACATCCTTGTAAGTGACATAAATCCAGTCCATCGATCTATCTAATGTTATGCCAAAGCATGATTAAGTGTGAGATATCTAAAGATCAAGCAAGCATCTGTTTCACACACATTCCCTACTTTATTTTATTCCTTTCTTGCATAGCTGGGATGAGAATTTTGGAAGTGTTTATTTTTAGGTGATTTTTTAAAGACTGCTGATGTTAAAATGAGCCCACTTTATAATAGATTATAAAGCTGTGTTACTTAAATTAACCAAATCTAATACAACTATAATGTCATGATTGCATATAACAATCTAGTTTTAAAGAAAAATGCCGATGGGGAGGAGGGAACACACAAAGCTGATGCTTAATTGAACCCTTCAGCTTGGCCTTGTCTGGGATTTCTGTTCCATTCATTAAAAGTACATCAAATTCATCACCATCCGTCACCAACAAAAAGTGGAGGCTACAAAGTTAATTACCAGCCTCCAGCATCATCCTTATCTCCAAGGGTTCCTTGGTCCCCATATCAGGCAATAGGTATTCTTAGAAAATAAACATGCTGATTGGTTGCAATTTAATGCTTGAGTTAAATTATATCCAAAAAAAAGAGAAAAGAAATGGTATATAAGTACATTAAACATGACTAGGAGCATGGGTAGGAGAAAGCACCCATAATTTGCATTATGGCCAATGGAACATTTTGCAACTATTTATATCCATTATTGACTCAGTCGGTGTTCTTGATCACAGAAACCCAGGGAAATCTCATTCTCTTTGAAACCAGTTATGTCCTGTGCTGATTTCTCCTATTTTCCAAAATGTTTTTCTGTACTATTTAGATGATAGCTCTTATGCCCTCCTCTTTCTTCTTCCACCTTTCCTTTTTGCATGTTTTTGCATGCTTCTTGCTTTAAATATATATAATGGTGGCAAACAATCTGCTTGATGCATAAAGTAAGGGACACATTTTGGATATGCTGGTAGAAACATCAAATTGTAAAGGAGAACAGCAGGAATAAAAGTCTAGGCTTAAGCTATGAGAAAAATAGACATGACATGCAGTGGTGGGATTCAAAAACATTTACTGCTGGTTCTGTGGGCGTGGTGTGGCTTGGTAGGCATGGCTTGGTGGGCGTGGCAGGGGAAGGATACTGTAAAATCCCTATTCCCTCCTGATCAGCTGGAACTCGGGAGGCAGATAATAGATGGGGGTGGGGCCAGTCAGAGGTGTTATTTATCCATTCTCCAAACTACTCAAAATTTCCGTTACCAGTTCTACTGGTCAGAACCTGCTGAATACCATCTCTGATGACATATCCTAGTACAGTGTGCTTGATGCATACGAATTTACAGCGAAAGGTTTTTTTCCCCCACCAGAAACATCTGAATCATCACTCATACTGAATATGAAAGCAGAGGATTTTGAGTACATTCTATCATGGAAAGCTGGAAATAGTTCAAGAATTCCAGTATGCTACACAGTGATATACTGGTATAATATGAAAAGGTTTCTATCTGTTTTCTTTATACATATTGATATTTACATTTTGTAACTGTTTACAAGTAATCATGATGGACAAAGTATTATTTTAACACAGGTACTTAGATATTGCTTCAAGAAAAATAAAAATAATGCAAAAGTTTAAAGGTCAGTAGATTTATTTGGTACATCTTTGTGGATTGGACATAATTTGATTGAATGCATGGGATATTATTTCTTATAAATACCTGTAAAGTTGGGAGTGATTATCATTTTGTGAACAGAGGCCACCCTTAATATTTTAGGAGTCACAAAGACCACAGAGCATGGGTTGATAATGCAAAATAACCAGACTATGACATACATTTGAATGGCTCCAGAGTTTTCTGTATTTTCATGAATTTAAGGTAGAATTTAAAGAGGGTTCTTTCTTTAATTCTATAAAGCATATTATAGGGAATACAATTCAGTATTATCATTTTCCAGTCTGAAAATGATAGAAAACTCTGAAATTTTTTCAGCAAATGGAGTCAGAAAGGATCTTGGGTACTGCATATACTTGGAGTGTAGATTTAATCCTATCCTATATGAACCTAAAACCAATTGAAACTCTTGAGGCAATATAGCACTGTCTCAATCCTTGATGTATTCAGGAGGTCAAAGGAAAGTAAGTGACAAAAAGTGCATTATGGGATAATTGATGCAAACCTTTGACTATAGTATATACTTGCATCCAACACGGAACACAAGTATGTCTGTTTTGTGAATATTTTTATCATCACAATTTTACTAGGTGCCTATAAATAAAAGAACTGTTATATTCAATTGAAGAATATTTGTAGAAACCTACAGTTATCACTCAATTGGCAACATGTCCTCATTTTATTTAAATAAAATAAACAAGTCAATTATTACTGCCAATGGCAGTAATTAGCACTTTTTCCTATATGATGGAGATAAACCTAGAGCAAAATGGCTGCATTTATTGAATGGATGGTACATTTGACAGAAAATGGAAGGGAAATTTTTTTGCTTTGTTTTCTTTAGTGATTTTGATTGTAATTTACATACCATGGAAACAAAGTCGAAATCAGCAGTAAAAAGCCAGGAACAAGTTAATTCTTACAACTCCAGGCAAGTAAAATACTCTTGAGAAGTTGATGCTCCTATTTATATTTGTCCCTTTTCGTTTATTTCAAGATGATCCACTGTATAATTTTAGTTTTCCTGCTTTCTGTGTTTTGAAAGACAAGTATTTTATATTAATACACAATAGGCCAATGAATGACAGTTTAAAGATTATAATGTGTCTTAACATTTCTACAATATTTGCTTTGGAGTGAATTTGAGGCTTAGAATTAAATCAGGAGCATATATAATACAGATCCTAAACTAAGCTTGGAAACCCAGGTTTGTGTCCACAGATGACCATGGAAATTCATGGCTGATTTAGAGCCAATCCTCTCTTTTAACAAACTTCCTGAGAGACTTCAGTGTAAGAACAAAATAATAGGAGACTCCCATGTGTATCATTCTGAGTTGGCAGAATACAAATATAATAATAAAAATAAAAATAAAATAAAAGATGGTGGATAGAAAAATATAGGCCAAAAAAATCATTACGTATTGTTCGGTTCTACTTGGGAAGATCAGTCTTCCCTATTTTTCTGCTTTAGTATGAATTGTTATGTTTGGGGTTTTAGACATGTAGTGGAATACATATAGGCTGTTCCTGAATTTAAATGGTTCATCCTTAATTTTAAACCATAACTTATGTCAAGTTACAATTGATTTAATATCATATCATCCATAATGGATGGGTTCACAGTCATGCTAAGTACCAACCAAAGAAACTATGCTTAGATTAAGACAGTGTATTAACCCAATCATTGATTAGGGTAACAGTGATCCCCAAAATAAGACCAGTTCTAAATGAATTCAGTAAATTCATTTGTATGTATGTATGTATTTTATTATTTGTATGCCTCCCTTCTCCGGGAGGACTCAGGGCGGCGAACAATTCAAGGGGGGAAAAAAGGGGGAACATAAAAGACAAAATACAAATAATAAAAGTAAACAACAGTTGCACAACCATACATGTCGAGAGGGGAGGGAACTCATCACCCCCAGGCCTGCCGGCAAAGCCAGGTTTTGACGGCTTTTCGGAAGGCCTGGAGAGAGGTGAGGGTCCGAATCCCTGCGGGGAGTTCATTCCAGAGGGCCGGAGCTGCCACAGAGAAGGCCCTCCCCAGGTAATAGCCAGGTGGCATTGGCTGGTAGATGGCACCCGGAGGAGGCCAACCCTGTGAGATCTAATGGGTCTGTGGGAGGTAATTGGCAGCAGGCGGTCTCTCAAGTACCCAGATTTAAAAATTGTTGTGCTTTACTCAGTATTCAGAGGAAGAAGCCTCTGGGAATGGATCTGTTTCCTAGGATATCTCCTTGTCTTGCCTTGCCTTCCTTCGATATCTGATGCCCCCTGCATGTACACGCAACTCCCAGAAGGAGTGTACCAGTTTGAGAAAAACTATCTTAGGTTATAGAACTCTAGGAAAGATTCTCAGAAGAGTCTGATGTCTTTATAGACAATAGAAAATGGAATGATTTGTGGTTCTTTCTTTTTGATACTTGCATCTCTATCACAGATGTTCTCTTCCTCCCCCGCCCCCAGGTCTCCGGAAAACCAAGATTCAGACCATCATGTTTTGGGACCAGGGCAGTTTGCTGCTTGCCCACCAATGAAGCAGGCTCTAAGGTAGAAGATATAAATAATTTTTTAGCAGAAATCCAGTAAAGACATCTGAGGTTTTAAATGACCTTAAATGTTTTTATTGAAATCAAGAAAAATTCTGACACTGTCAAAAAGCTTGAAAAAATACTGACTTGCTAACTCTAACCACCCAAATACCACCACCACACATTATAAGTTCCAACGAACTTTAAGTGAACAAAAATTGATATACCTCCTGTATAGTACATAAACATGACATCTTTTTGTAAATTGTAATGCATATTTATTATTTATGTGCATGTGTTTAAAATTTTAAAATAAGAAAACAATAAATATAGCAGGTTTAGACAACTTTCTAGTCAATATTTTGTAATATCTCCTTTCCAATGGTTCCTATAATTAATTAAGAAAAACTTTTGAAGCCCTCTCCCATTCTTGCTGTCAGAGTTTTTCTAGCACAGAAATATTCTTGCATGATTCATCTGGAGGTGTATTTCAGACTGTCTTCTTGTTTTTACATGTGTATATGTACATGCTTCCCAGATGTCACATTTTTAAAAATATCATAGAAAGGATAAAAATGTTATCAAATTCTGCAATATTATGACTCTTAAGTGATAAATGAATATGTGTGATACTCCACCCAATAAAACTAAATAGTATGTAATGTCAAAGAAACAAACTAAACTGTTGCATTTCATTGATATTTTGATAAATAGTTAAGCACAGGGGTTGAATCATCTCTTGGGATTTTCTCTGGGTTTTGCTCCCCATTTTCTCTGCAGAAACCTCCTGTATGCTCATCCAGACCAAATATAAATGAGTTGGACAGAACACCTGTTATGCCTCAGCATCTTAAAAAAGTCAATTGCTCTTTAAATTGATACCAATCTTCCAGAAGTCATGACCTATACTTTGGTCACACCTGGTTAAGGAAAAAAATAGTTGGAATAGAAAGGAAAATGAAAACGGGGGATAAAAATGGATGCCCTTTGAGCTGAAGGGAACTAATCAGTGGTGGGTTACCATTTTTTTTCCTACTACTTCTGGCACAGTCACGCTTGCTGCTTCTGCAGATGCGCAGAAGCATCCAGGCGGGTGGGCGGAGCTTCCTACCGCCGCTACTACCAGTTCACCCAATCCGGGCCGAACCGGGAGCAACCCACTTCTGGAACCAATTACTAGCTCTGGAAGAAAGAAAAGAGAGATGAATAACAGTTAAACTTCCAGTCTAATTTTCTAAAGCAACTGTGCTTTCCAGGAGCAATGCAGAATATTTGCACCTCTTGCTCATTTCTTTGTTTTTAATAGCATCTGTTATTCTTACCAGTGAATGTAAGTGGATCTTCTTAAAGATACAGTACATACAAGGAGATCAGGAATATTTTTGAGCAAGGAAGATTCTGCCAGGAAGAATGGGAAAAGAAAAGAATCTAAAAGTGAGAACATAAACTTTCTCAGTTGTAAGAAACAACAAAGTTGTTATTTCTGCCAAAGAAAGTGTTACAAAATTGGAAGGGTCTTCAGACTTCTGTAGCTGCCATATTTACTGCTTTATCACTGAATCTGTGTACATAAGCAATAAAAGTGCATTGAAATTTGCAGGAAAAAACCATATATAACTATACACCATGCAGATATTTCATCAACTATGAATTCATTGAAATATACAGTTTTACCTGGGTACCTAATCTTGCATAGACAACTTCATATACATCTCATCTGGGTCTAACATTTTGGGCAATTATCATATATTTCTTTGGAATCACTGTTTTCTTACTGAAAAATACTGTATTCTTTCTTGTTTTTATATAGTGATATAAAATCAATGCAGCCCAGGAATGTACTAATCGATGCAGTCCAGGGATGTACTAATATTGCAAGACCATTCTGTAATCTAACAAATGAATTTGCAGATGTTTGCCGTAGAACGGCATATATTGTAGTACAGCAATACACTAGCAATGGAACAAATTATTCAGATATTATACCATTCAATCCATTTTCTAACCGTAAGTAATTTCTTTCTTCCTTTTGTTTGAAACGTATTAATTTTCACTATCTCAAATCAGGTCATTTTTCCTTCCTTTGTTCATTTGGCAAGCGAGTTGGCCTTGATGACTTTTATATCCAGTTATACTATACATTTAAAGACAATTTTAAAAACTAGCCTAGAAATTAAGAGTAGCACAAAGAATCAGATTCTGTATTCAGAGCTGACTTTCAGAATCAAAATTAACATTGATGATTAAAGCAAACCAATAATAAAAAATTAAAGTATGTATCTTTCTATTGAAAATATTATTTATAATAATACATTAGGTTTGATTAAAAATTCTACATAATTTCCAAGATACTTAGGTATATTTTAGAGTCTATTACATTTTCTAAGATTAAAATAATCTGGACTGCCAGCAAATAGTATTGATAATTTCTTTTATTTATGTTTTAATCAGGATGCTTCAGGCCACCTCAGTTTAATATTTCTGTTTGTCAAAACTGTGTAAATGTCACAGTGAAACTTCCACCTCTGTTACTTAAAATTTATCAAAAACTTGATTATACAATCATAGTGGAAACAGCTGATCTCAAGGAAAATGTAAGTAATTGATTATTAAGGTCTTAAAAATATCAAAAAGAATTCACTTTATAATTAAGAAATGTGCTAGGTTTTTTGCTTTTACAATATTATATCTCTCAGCTTCAGATGTGTTGAGCTCACATCATTTTCAGCCATTGTGACATTGTTTTTTTCCAGTTCAGTGTTTATATTCATTGGTTCTAAATGGAATGATGGAATCCAGATGGGCAAGTTTGTTTGTATGGGTTCAGAGTGCAGCTGAACTTGATGGGTTCAGTTGTTAAGACTAATATAGAAAATCAATGGCCATACTAGCATACAAACGGACACAATTAAACTAACACAATATCAAAAAGCATTTTAGTATATAGACATTGCAATGTCATCCAATTCAGAAACACAAATTACAAAAATAAAACTATTGTTGATATTGCTGTTATGATTGTTGTAGTTATAAATAGTGATATAGTAATAGTACTGGTATTTAAACAACTTCACAAAATATTTCATTATTCCTCTAACCTCCATATAGAAAATGACATTCTTAAATAAAAAGTATAGTGGTACTTCGGTACTCATTGTTAATTAGTTCCAGGAGGCACAATGTACCAAAAACGATGAGTATCAAACAGATTTTCCCCATAAGGAATAAGGTAGTGAATCACAAGGCTGCCAAGAATTTTTCTCTTGTGTATTGAGTACTAAACAAACGATGTGTATCAGGACAAAACTTTTGTATCAAGTGAGTTGAGTACCAGTTTGATGAGTTTCAAAGCAGTTGAGTTACTGCTTTGAATTATGGTTGATGTACCACTGTAAGTGTAGCCATGCCGTGATTCTGGTTAAAGTAGAGTTTTACCAATTCACATCATTTAGCTTTATCCTTTCAGTGCATTTTAAAACAATTCACCTTCTTTTTTTGTCTTTTACAGCGTGTTACTAATTCAACCAAACAGGATAATTTCTTCACTATTCTGGAAGATTTGCATGCAAATAAAAATTATTGCATTGCTGTTCAGGTGTCTACAGGTCATAATCCCCAGTGCACTTCCACCATTCCAAAATGTATTATGCTTGAGTCCAATAATCGAGAAGGTACATTGAATTATGAAATAAGGAAATGGGATGGGTCAGAACCTGTTTATTTTGTGACTAAAAGACTAAACATTTGTTTAGCATTTCAGTATCTTTTACATGATTACCCTATTTTTCGGACTATAAGACACACCAGGCTATGAGACACAACTAAATTTACAAGAGGAAAACAAGAACAAAATAGTTTTTGGCCTCTGTGCATCGCGTTTTCACCCGCCTCAGCCCCTAGAAGCACTACAGTACTCTGCACATCCTGTTTTTGCCAAAAATGGGATGCATGGAACAGTACAGAGTGCTTCTGCAGGCTGCGGAGGGCAAAAATGGGACACATAGAGGGCTTGGGAACCCAAAAGTGCACCTGTTTTTGGCAAAAATGGGACATGCAGAGCACTGGAGAGTGCTTCTGGGGGATGAGGGTAAAAACACAATGCGCAGAGGATTTGGGAGGCCAAAAACACCCATATTCGGTCTATAAGACGTACCTAAATTTTCACCCACTTTTAGGGTGGCGAAGGTGAGTCTTATACTCCAAAAATATAGTATATTATAGTTCTTTGTCTTCCTGACAAAACCAAGTAGTTTTGAAATAATGTGCAAATGCATTGTTGCTTAATGAAATATATTTTTAATCTGCAGATTATATTATGCTTTCAATCTTGGCTCCATTAATACTAGTGGTAGTGATAATCATTTCAGCTTTCCTGTATAAGGCTGGTTTTATTTTCTTTAAAAGGAGCACATCATCAAATGTCTTGGTAAGTAGTGTGGCAAAATATTTTCAACTTAATGTTTGTATGTGTTGGGGCAGTTCAACCAAAGGTAGTGAAAAGGATTCCCAGAAGAAACTACATGTCCCTTAACTCCATTGAATATTGAATATAGACTTGGGGTGATGTACTGTAGCTTCTTCATTAGTTTAAAGACTATTTCTAGCCTAATGGCTGTGAGACTGTTTTTCATTTTAGTCTCATATGTTTACATATTCAGTTAATGTGCCAAAAGAAACAGCACTCTTAGTTTGGCTGTATTGCCAAACTTGCAGGACTTGACATACAAGTGGATTTGAGCTTACAATCAGGAACCTGCACAAGATTTAAGAAGGCTTTTTTACAGTATATAACTTTTAGAGTTAATTTTGGAAACAAGATTAATTCATTGTAAACAGCCCTCCAGTAATCCAACAGAAGCTTGTTTTAAAATAGACAGATTATGTTGCTGAGGCTAAATAAATTCCCACTAATTATTATGTGCTGCCTCTGGCAACAGATATGGTGAAACACCTACATCAGACATGAGGAAATGTTTTCTGTTCAAGGGGATCCTTTGAACAGGATTTGAAGCAGATTACATTAGGGTGGAGTTTGACAGTAACTTTAGCAGTGAAACAGAATTGAAAGTCCTGCCCTCTGATAGTCACCCATCTCTCTGTGCCAGAGAGCACAAGGTACGCCTGAATGAAAAGTTGCATCTGTCACATGCTTTCTTTCATTTATGAACAATAATCAAACAAGGCTATAAAAATCATTTCTGCCTTCCTACTGGGAATATAAAACCCCATTGAACTCTAGCACGTGCAACCTCATAACTTTATTAACGGAAGTAAATGCTGAGAGCTTTTATGTCCATTTGTTTAAAGCATATTTTTCCCCACTAGGGAAGAGGGGAAATAAAAATCTGTACCTAGTTACCTACAAGGGAACTTGGGGCAGAATTAAAAAAAGAATAAAACATTTGACATTTCCAGAAAGGAAAGTTTAATAAAGCCCCAGCATTAAAGATACAGAAAAGCAAAGAAATATTATTAGTGAAATGGTATATAGATGTTTCAGGTATTTTTTTATCACACATCAATACTGTTTTGACGACATCTGTGAATGTGCATGCCAACATTTATTTATTTTCCCCCCTAGAACATCAATCGTGACTTGGCTTATTCAGTCTTTGAATCAAATCCTGAAGAAATTTGTGAGGTCCAGGTCCAGGAAAGTGAAGCGCAACAACACAGTGATGATGAGAACAGTGAAAGCGATGTTGAGAGCAATTTGGATACTGAATGTGACTTCTTTAATCAGATTACACCATTCTCTCAGGTGGAGAACACTCAGAAGTTGTTCACAGGTTGCTCAGCTACTAAAAATGAAGTAACCAGAACTTTAGCACAAAGGAATCAGGATGATATTGACAAAAGCAGCCCAATTACCCCATTATATCCTTCTGAAGTGAACTCTGGCCATGTAGCAGAATCAGAACGTACAGACTGCTTAAATGTAAACTTAAATTCTGTGATGCTAGGAATATCAGATAAAAACCTGGATTTTTCTACAATTGACCATGAAGACTTGAATGAATCTTGTATTTTGGATGCATTTGAACCAAACCATTTCACTGAAATGCCAGATAATCAGAGCTTTGATGTTCAAAATCTATGTTCATGGGAAAATCGTAGTGTCTCTGGGGAAAGTGAATCATCGTATTCAGAAACAGAATGCACCAGTGGATACATGAAAAGATGAATCCATGAAAAGTGACACAGCTTCCACTGTTCCTCCCTTTGAAAGGCACTTTTGGGGAGCAGTAATTCAGACCAGACAAACATTAAGCTCTTTCTTCCATTTCTTCATTCCAAGTTAACCCTAAAAGGATCATGAGATTCAGTTACACAAAAACAGTGTTGGCACTTTACTATCTGAATTTATATTGCATGAAGAACTTGGTTCCTATGGATACCAAAATATAATGTAATTACATAGTTTTTTGTACAGAGCTGGAGCTACAGTTTATACTGATATTGTGATTGGCAGACATTTTTTCAAAGTTGTGTGTCCTGCCTTCTCCAAATTAATGTCTTCATGATGTGCTCTAGCTGGGCATTCTAGAATCTGCACCTCTGGCATATCAAGAAGCAATCAGGTCTGGACTTTACTTCTCCTTCATACATCTAATGCATATATTTGTCCTGCTGTTTTAGAAATCTAAAAATTAACTGCTTTTTCTTGTCTTGTATTTATTATTTTGTTTTTAACAACCTTAAACTTAGTACATGACTTTATTGCAGGGCAATTTACTTTCCTGTGATTCACTTAAAAACTGTGGCAAGAAAGGTTGCAAAATAGGGCAAATCTTACTTAACAACTGTATTATTCAGCAATGTAAATTTTGGATTCAGTTGTAGTTGTACATCAAGGACTACCAGTATGATGTGAGATTGTTGTTTTTTTTCAAACAAGGAAAGTGAATTTCTTAAGGAATGGTTTCTTTTATGCATTTCTTCCAACATGCTTGAAGGAGGAAAACTAGTGAGAGACAAGGCAGATCACAGTTCATGCAGAATCCAGCTGATGACAACAGTCATAACACTGGATCTGGTGTTCCTCTCAGAGCAATACCTGTGTGATCTAAAAGTGAGAGTATTTTTGTTGTCTCCCTAATTTACGAAGCATGCCCTAATTTCCATGGAATTCTCTAGAATCACTATTCATTGCAGGGAGGCTGGTTTCATTAAGTTCAGCCTCTGGGAATTGATGGACCCAGATACATTTCAGAGGAAATGCGGGTTGTTCTTTTGCTCTGCTGTACGGCCATCCAAAGTTACAAGTTAGAATAAAGAGGTTGCTGAGACATTGGATCACATCGTGCCCATGCAATCTCTTCTCTCTTGGCGATACTGTCACTTCCTGTGTTTTACAGAAGAGTTGAGGGAGATTAAACAAGAATTATAACCAATAATACTGGGGCGTCACTCATGTTGGGGGCACCTGTAGTGGTCGAGTGCTAAGGCAGGACTTTCCTCAGAACTTCACTCACTCTCATCATAATCTTCCTTCCTTCCTTTTCTTCTTTTTCCCCCCCTATTCATTCTCCTTTCTTCTTCCTTCCCCCTTTCCCTTATTTTTCCTTCCTTGCTCTCTTTCCATCTTTCCTTCTTTTTTTCTTTGTCTTTCCTCCTTCCTTTTTCCCTTTCCCGTCCCTTCTTGCATGCTCAATGCAAAAGAGGAAACATTTCTCCATTTGTTTTGTTTTTAGTTTGTTTTGCTAGTCCTCTGCCAGCGAAAATGAAGCTCAGGGGTGTACGCAGGCCCCCTGGGCTCTGTTTTTGGCCACGACAACCTCTTGCAGTCCTCTGCCAGTGAAAACAAGCCCCATTTTCACTGGCAGAGGACTGCAAGAGGTTGTCGTGGCCAAAAACAGAGCCCAGGG